GTGTGTGTGTGTGTATGTGTGTGTGTGTGTGTGTGTGTGTGTGTGTGTTTGTGTGTGAACGTACGTGTATTTCTGCACATTATGGCTGCATTAATTGTGCATAAGAAAGGTACCGGAAAGGTTAATGAAGTGTTGAGTAGAGAAATAACCTTGAGCTCCCAAGGCCCCATGCATCAGCTCTGTGAGCCGTTAGACAGGAAATGAAGGCAGAGATAGTCAAGAGTTGCTGAGTTGGCGACATCAGTCACAGCTTCCAACGTTATCATAGTAATGGGATTCATTTTTCCTACTAAAGGGTTCATCATCATTTAAAAGGATTTAAAAACTCGAATGAAGGTGAAACAAAGACAAAACAGATCATTACTACAGACTTTTTTTCAAGAAGATTTTTTTCAAGTGGGTTTCAGGTAGCACACAAAGTAAGAACATTTGTGTTTGGCAGATTATTTCTTTGTTGTAGCCATGCTTCTTGACAATAAATCACAGACCAGGATGGCCGAGTGGTTAAGGTGTTAGACTTAAGAGCAATGGACAAATATGATTGTGGATTCAAACTCCACTCCTGGTAAGACCTTAACTTGTAAAACAGAAAAATGGACAATAATTTTTCACTGTCGTCAGTGAAAAATGCAGGAACATGGAGGCATAGCATCCACAGTGGTAAAGATAAATTATATTATTCATCATGAAGAATAAAGCTGGGTGGTATTAATGAAATGCACCGGATATAAAGCGTAAAGAACACATAAACAGCCAGAACTGGATTCAGCACCATGGAGAGCGACTCTCTCCAACACACTGCTGTTAGTGTGCTTCAATGATCAAGCAGGATGAAATGAACTTAAATTATATATATACAGTACTGTGTATATACATACAGTATACTATCACACACACACACACACACACATTTAGGTGCAAACATTTACCTCTCTTGGTAAAATCCTGGTTAAGTTGAAATATCTTATTCAGCATTTAATACTTTGTATGTGTATATACATACAGT